CTGCACGGCAAATTTCTAGATTCATGTAAACAATCCAAGAAAATATCTCAATTTCTTTTTCAGACTATTTTAACAGTTGGATACTTGGTTCTGAAAAACAGTCTGTTTCAATTTCGGCTGTAAATTAAGACAAGAGGAATTTTAGGGTCTTCAATAGAGGCTGCTATTTTGGGTCAGTCTTCTCAGCTTTTGGGCTCAGTTGTGCTTTGCTAACTCAAAGCTCTTTCCCTGGGAAATCAGCCATCTTAATTACTCAAGTTTCCGTTGAAGGATATCTGAAGTGACCAGACCCCTGAGGGACAGAGTCATAATGAAGGATGTTTATTGCTATTCTTATGTCCTCCTCATTCAGTGACACACAGAAGCATCTCTGTTTTTTAGTATCAAGTAATCAGCATCAAATTATTTTCTCTGGAAACCTTGACCCTATTACTGTTAAATCAAATGCACATGGGTAAATGATTTACAAGCTGCCCAGCTTAGCTTCGTATTCTACGTCTCTCTGCTGATTGCATTTTCATTTTATCACAGCAAACTTCTCATAGGTCAAAGAAACCGTCCTCTCAAGGAGGTCAAATTCCCTTTTACTTCACATTCAATTTAATGAAACAAGATAGGAAATCACTGTTTCTGAAGCATCATTCCCAGAGCTTAATAACATGGGAGCCCGATACTCTTGAGTGATGGGAACCTCTAGGCTGACATCTGGTGTTGGATGATTTCAGACACACAAAGGAAATCCACTTGTTCTGAGGCTGCTGTGGAGGCAGCTGGCCTGCAGAGTTAAACAACAGCATAAAGATCGTGCTTGCCAAACTTCTGAATTTAAAAAACAAAAAAAGAAAAAAAATGGAAAAAACGGAAGGTAGGGGGAAACATCTGCCCAGCATCTGTTGTTAAAAACTTTATCTCTCTTATGAACCTCAGACTGTGTGTTCCTAAAAATGCCAGTTCACCAGGTGATAGTGGTAAGACCAGTATAATATGAGATAATGATAATGTGGGGAAATGAAGTAATAACATTGGGACTCTTGTCCTTCCTGAGGGAGAAATTTGTCTGTCCAAGAAATGGATCTAGTTTTGTTTTTGGGTACATATCAAGACATCTGGCTTCATAAGCCCTTGGTTTAGTTTCAGGTTTCTCTCAAATAGTCTTGTCTATATCCTCAGCACCTAGTTTTCCTCATTTCCAATACCTTGCAGAATTTTTCATACATAGTTGATATTCAATAAATGACTTTGGAAAGACACCTAATCCGTTAATGTTCATCAAATATTTTAGAAAAGCTTTGATGTACTCTCAGATCTCTTTCCTTTTTTTATGGAAAATTTCCAACAATCTGCAGTTTATATTGCATTTGAAAAAAACTTTGACTTACTTTTATGTTTTTTATTATAGAATATTTCAAACATGAAAGATAGAGAATAATTTAATGAATACCCACAAGCAGGCTTTAAAAAAAATCGAACATTTGCCACGTTTGCTTTAGACATACTTTTAAAAAGAAGCAAAACACTGCAGATACTGATGAAGTCCCCATACCTCCATGAGTTGGTTTGCTTCCCCACCTTCCTCCCTTCTGCAGACTGTGCCTCTGCTCAGAGATTGGTGTGTATCATTCTCATGCACGGTTCACCAGTACATACTTACACTTTTTATTCTACAAGTTGTGTATAGTTTACCATTTCACTTTACTGTAATATATGTTTTATTAAGTATGTATTTATTTATAATATCATTGGTGACACACTGTACATATAATTTTTAAATTTTCTCTTTTCTCTCAGTATGATATTTTTCAGATTTTTCATGCTTACTCAACTAGTTAAAGATCACTGCTTCTTCAACTCTGGGAAAGAAGTGTTTTTTTTTTCAATATTCAGTGTATCATGAATTATATGTCTAATTAAAATATAAAAAAGAATTCTTAGAAAAACGTGATAAAACAAAGATATACTAAGACACAAGTCTATATTTAACAGATACAAATTACTCTGTCAAGTTGTTGTAAGAGTTTCTACATGTTTGCTCTCATCCTGACACAGACTGGTAACAAATAGTTTGCCAGCTGACACTGGTGGAGCATAACTCCTCACCCCTTTAGTGAGGGCTGTGCATAGTCACTTCCTTCCAAAGAGTGCAGTATGGATGGGGATGGGAACTTTACATGAGAGAAATCTGACAAGTACTAGCACAGCTAGGTGATCAAGGTCAACATCCTCAGTGATGTCATGTTGCTAGCGTGTATCCTTGATAGGATGTGATAAGAAGGACACTTTACCTTTGTGATCTTTCTTCCCAAATCACATAACCACAGTATAACCTCAAGAAAAAACATTGGAAATAACCAGTATGAGGGACATTCTACAAAATACCTGACCAGTAATCCTCAAAACTCAGGTGATAAAAACAAGGAAAGCCTAACAAACTGTTACAGTCTGGAGGAGCTTACCAAGATGTGATGACTAAATGTAATGTGGTATCCTGGATGGGATCCTGGATCAGAAAAGGAATATTAGGTATGAACTGAGGAAATTCAAATAAAGTGTAGATTTTAGCTAATAATTTTAAATTAAAGTTGGTTCATTAGTTGTGACAGATGAACATAGTAATGTAAGATATTGACAATAGGAGAAACTGGGTACACCATATATAAAAACTCTGTACAATTTGTAAATCTAAAATTATTCTAAAACAAAACATTTTTTTAAAAAGCCATTGAGAAAATTTAATATAACCAAGAAATATGCATTTACATAAATACCCATGCCCAGAAAATGAAAAGAAACAATTGACCATATATACATATACATATATATATATATGTATGTGTGTGTGTATATATATACATATGTAAGCCTTTATTTTGGGATTTTTTTTCTGCTCTGATCAATGATCTATATACCTCCTTATGCAATACCTCACTATCTTAATTATGTAGTTTTATAGAAAGTTGTGTGGGTGGGTAGCATAAATCCTCCAACTCTATTCTTTTTCAAATCTTTGTTGGTATTCTGGGTCTTTTGCATTATGATTTATTTTTGAGTTACCTTGTCAATTTTTCCAAAAAAGACTATAAAAATTTTAATATAGATTACATTAAATAAATACATATATTGGGGAGAATTGACATCTTAAACATACTGAGTCTTACCATCCATGAGAATAGAATGGATTTCCATTTTGTTAGAGATTTTCTTTAATTGCTTTCAGCAATCATTTTTTTAACGTTTTTTTATTGAGTTATAGTCATTTTACAATGTTGTGTCAAATTCCAGAGTAGAGCACAATTTTTCAGTTATATGTGAACATACATATATTCATTGTCACATTTTTTTTTGCTGTGAGCTACCACAAGATCTTGTATATATTTCCCTGTGCTATACAGTATAATCTTGTTTATCTATTCTACATATGCCTGTCAGTATCTACAAATTTTGAACTCCTAGTCTATCCCTTCGCACCCCCTTCCCCCTTGGCAACCACAAGTTTGTATTCTATGTCTATCAGTCTATTTCTGTTTTATATTTATGTTCTTTTTTTTTAGATTCCACAGATGAGCCATCTCATATAGTGTTTTTCTTACTCTTTCTGGTTTACTTCACTTAGGATGACATTGTCCAGGAACATCCATGTTGCTGCAAATGGCAGTATGTTGTCAGTTTTAATGGCTGAATAGTATTCCATTGTATAAATATGCCACTTCTTTATCCAGCCATCTGTTGATGGGCATTTATGCTCTTTCCATGTCTTGGCTATTGTAAATAGTGCTGTGTATGAACACTGGGGTGCAGGTATCTAGCAATCTTTTTAGATTTCTGTATACAGGTCTTTCACTTCTTTTATAAAATGAATCCTAAGTATAATATTTCTTTTCAATGTTATTGTGAATAAAATTATTTTCTTAATTTCAATTTTTGATTGTTGCTAGTCTTCTGAAACATAATTGCATTTTTAATTTTGATTTGTTTTCTGTGAGCTTTCAAACTTGTTTACTAATTCTAGGTTTTGTTCTGCTTGGTTTTTTTTTTTTTTTCTTTTGAGGTTTCTTAAGATTTTCTACATATATGATTATGTCTGCAAATAAAGACAGGTTTTTCTTTCCGATATGTGCTTTTAATTTATTTTTCTGGCCTGACTGCAGTGCCTAGAACCTCTAACACAGTACTGAATAGAAGTGGTAAGAGCAAATATCTTTGCTTTGTTCCTGATCCAAGTGTAAAATCATTCAATCCTTCACTATTAAGAGTTGTCAGCTTTTCTTACATGCCCTTTATGAGGTTGAAAAATTTCCTACTATTCCTAACTTGTTGAAAGTTCTTTTTTAATTGTAAGTGAACATTGGAATTTTTTTCAAATCTTTTCTGATTCTACTGTGATGGCCATATAGTTTTGTCTTCTATTCCATGGATATTACATTTAACGCTACTTGATTTTTTTCGATGTTAAATCAATTTTGTATTTCTTGGGTAAATCCCACTTGAACATGATATATAATCCATTTAATATGTTGACTAGGTTTGCTAATATTTTTGTTAAGGATTTTTGTGTCTGTATTCATTTAGAATATTGGTTTACAGTTTTCTGGCCTCAGGATAAGTTGGAAGATGTTTCTTCCTCCTCTGAAAGAGTTTGTGTTAGATTGGTATCCTTTGTTCTTTAAATGTTAGGTGGAATGCATAGTGAAGTCACCTGGATCTGTGCTTTTCTTTGTGGGAAGCTTTTTAATTATTAATTTAATTATATCACTTGTTATAGGTTTATACAGATTTTCTATTCTTGAGTCTTTCTTGGTATTAAGTATATTTTTATCAAGTTGTCCATTTTATCTAAGTTGTTTAATTTTTTGACATAAAGTAGATTGTAATGTTTTCTCATAATCATTTAAATTTCTGTAGGAGAATTCATAATGCCCCCTCATTTATTCCTGACTTTATTGATTTATGTCTTCTCTCTTTTTTTTCTGTTATCAGTTTTGTTGACTTTTCAAAGAACCAACTTTTTTTTTGAAGTTTTATTGTTTTTATTTTATTTATTTATTTATTTTTTATGGTTCTGCAAACTTTTTTTTTTTAAATTTTACAATGCACCATAAACATTTTTCCATGCAATGGATGAAAATTTGCTACTGAAACATAGAGGGCTGCAGTTGGATAACATGAGTGACACCTAAAGCATAGTATTAGCATAAGATTAAATAAAGCTCAAGGCTTTGCAAATGCCTGCCAGGGGCACTACACAAAAGGAATGTCTTCAAAGCCCCTTTGTGGGGCCCTGCAGCCACCCCTGAGTTCCCTTGGGCCCCTGGGGTGGAAAGGGTCCTGTAAACTTTTTTGCATCCACATAAACCCCCCAGTTTCTGTCTGGTTTTCTTCACTTCATCCTCCACCCTAGGCAGCTCGTCAAATTCTCTTATCATCTCCTCATTGATCAAATGCATATCATGTATGGCCTCCTTGTATTCCTTGAAACACTGAGCCAGCCCCTTGTTGGTTTTCCTTTTGGCCTTCCTGGGTACATTGTCCCCAGCTGGGCGCTTTCCTGCAGCCCTTGGTTTGCTGGCTGGCTTTCCTTCTTTTGCTTTTCCCTTGCTCTCTGGTTTTCCTTCTTTTGGTTTTCCCTCATTCTCTGGCTTTCCCTGGCTCACTGGCTTTCCTTCTCTTGGCTTTGCCTCACTCTCTGGCTTTTCCTTATCCTTTAGTACTTCCTTATCTTCTTTCTTTCCCTTGTGATCAATCCTTCCTTTGTTTTCTAACTTTTCCTTGTCTTCCACAGTACAAGCTACTCCTGGCTTTCCCGCATCCAGTGGCTGTTCTTTGTTTTCCATCTTTCCTGGGTTCTCAGGCATTCCTTCATTTTCACTGCAGAGTTTTTCCATGTTGAGATGTCCCTTCCTTTTCCTGTCCTGCAGGGATTCTGGACAGGTTCCTCCTCCTTTTCTAGCCTAGCAGAGTGCTGGAAAGAACGGACACTCAGATCTCAGGGAACTTGGAGCAACAATTAGAAGCTCACGGACGGCTCCGGGTCCAACCACAGGGAGGGAGGGAGAGCCGTTTTAATTTTTTTAAATTTATTTTTATACAATTTTTAAAAGTTACTTAACATTTACAGTTATTACAAAATATTGGATATATCCACCGTGTTGTACAATACATCCTTGGGCCTATCTTACACCCAATAATGTGTACTTCCCACTCTCCCACCTCTCCTCCCCACTAAGTAACCACTAGCATGTTCTCTATATCTGTGAGTCTACTTCTTTTTTTGTTATATTCACTAGTTTGTTGTAGTTTTTGGATTCCAAATATACATGATATCATACAGTGTTTGTTTTTCTCTGACATATCAAAGAACCAACTTTATTTCCATTGATTTTCTGTATTGATTTTCTGTTTTCTTATTCATTGATTTCAGCACTGATCTCTATTATTTCCTTCTTTCTACTTAATTTGGGTTCTTAATTAGTTCTTCTTTTTCCCTGAGGTGGAAGCTTAATCTTCTAAAATCTTAATCTTCCTTTCTAATGTAAGTGTTCAAGCACTAAATTTCCCTCTAAGCACTACTTTAGCTGCATTCCCAAGATTTTATATGTTGTGTTTTTTTCCAAGTAATTCAAAATATCTTCTTATTGTCACTGTGGTTTCTTATTAGACCTTTGGATTATTTATAAATGTGTCAATTTCCGAATATTTGGGATGACTCAAAATTTTTTCTGTTGTTAATTTCTAATTTAATTTTATAGTGCTCAGAGAAGGTATTTTATATGATTTCAATTCTTTTAAATTTATTGTGACCATCTTATGACCTAGACTATGAACTATTTTGGGAAATGTTCTTCTTGTCCTTGAAAAGAATGTGTATTCTGCTGTTTTGGGGTGGAATGTTCTATAAATGTCAGGTCAAGTTGATTGATGTTGTTCAAACCTTCTAAATCACTATTGATTTTTCTGTCCAGTTGTTCTATCAATCGCTGGAAGTAAGGTACTGAAATCTCCACCTATAGTTGTTGAACTGTCTATTTCTCCTTTCAGTACTGTCTGTATTTGGCTTATGTATGCTGAGGCTCTAGTATTAGGTATATATACATTTATAACTTCCGTATATATTGGCCCTTGTATCATGAAATGTCCTTCTTTGTCACTAGAAATATTTCTTGTCTTCAGCCCTATTTTACCTAATATTAGTATAGCCACTCAAGCTTTCTTATGGCTACTACATGTATGGTATATCTTTTCTCACCCTTTCACTTTCAATCTAATTGTGTCTGTAAATCCAAATTGTGTCTCCTGTAGACAACACAGGATCTTTTTTATTCAGTCTGATTATCTCTGCCTTTTCACTTTATAAGACATCGATTTAGTTGGATTTATATCCACCTTTTTGGTCTTTGTTTTCAAGATATCTCATGTCTTTTTTGCCCCTGTGTTCTTCCTTTATTACATTTTAATTGAATCAATATTTTAATGTACCATTTTATTTTCTATTTTTTTGATAGGAACTTTATTAAGATATAATTCATATACCATATAATTCATCTATTAAAAATGTGCAATTCAGTAGTTTTCAGTTTAGTCACAGAGTTGGGTAATCATCATCACAATAAATTTTATGACTTTTTATTGCCTCCCTCTGAAAAAAACCTCTTTTATTCATTAGCAGACACTTTCTATTTCCCCTAACCACTCCCCACCCCAACCCAGTCCTAGGCAACCACTAGTCTATTTTCCTCCATGGATCTGCCTGTGTTGGTAAGAGCAGGTATCTTTGCTTTGTTTTTGACCTTAGGAGGAAAGAATTTAGTCTTTCACCATTAAGTACAATGTTAACTATAGGCTTTTCATAGATGAGATGCTCTTAAGCAGGTTGAGGAATTCTTCTGTTTCTAATTTGTGAGTATTTCTATCAGGAAGAATATTAAGTGCTTTTTTTTGCATCTATTGAGATTATCATGTGATTTTGTTTTTTAGTCTGTTGCCATGATGTATAGTAATTGATTTTGGGTTGTCAAAACTTACACTCCTAGAATAAATTGGTAATGGTGCATAATCTTTTTTATAGGTTATTGGGTTATGTTTACTAGTATTTTATTGAGGATTTTTTTGTCTATATTCATAAGAGTATTAATCTGTAGTTTCCTTTTCTTGTGATATTTTTTTCTGAGTTTGGTATTAGGGTAATACTGACCTCATAGAGCAAGTTGGGAATTAGTTCCTCCCTTTCTGTTGTTTAGAACAGTTTGTGAAGAATTGGCTTAATTCTTCTTTAAATGTTTGGTAGCATTTACCGGAGAAGTCATCTGGGTTTTATGGATAGTTTTTTTATTTATCTTTTCAGTCTCTTTACTTATTATAGTTGTATTCAGATTTTCTATTTCTTTTTGAGGCAGTTTCAGTAGTTTCTGTCCTTCATGGATTTTGTCCATTTCATCTAATTTATGTGATTTGTTTGCATGCATTTGTTTCTAGTATTCCTTTATAAACCTTTTTCTTTCTGTTAGGTTGACAGTAATCTCTTTCATTCTTATTTTCTAAAACTTTATGTATTTTTGAGTTATTTTCATAGTGGTTATTCTATTACACACTAAATCTTAATGATCACAATCTAGGCTAGGTTAATACTGACTTATTCCAGTAAAATATAACAACTTGAGGGGGAGAGTATAGCTCAGTGGTAGAGTGCCTGCTTTGCATGCACAAGGTCCTAGGTTCAATCCTCAGCGCCCCCATTAAAAATTAATAAATAAATGAACATAATTATTGCCCCCCCCCATTTTAAAAAGTCCAAACAGGAAAAAAGTTAAATATATATAAAACAACTTGACCCCTTCATTTGTGCTATTATTGTCATATGTATTTTGCCTATGTATGTTATAAATCCAACAATACAGAGCTACAATTTTTGCCTTATACCGCCTATGGCTCTCTCATTTCTAGGGTTTCCCCTGAACTGGAGTTATAAACTCAGGTTAGTGGAGCATAAGATTTTCCCCATTCACTTTCTAATGAACTTGCTGCTTTGTTGACAATACTCCCATCCCTGAGTTACTGCCCTCTGCTCAAAATCAAGTCTGCCCCAAATCAAGTCTGCCCCTGTTGGCAGCAAAGCTGCTGGTTTTCCTGGCCAGTCCAGCCCTTATAAAGTGACCATGTTAACTGATTGTGCGTGTGTGTGTGTGTGGGTGTGTGTGTGTGTAGAAGCAGATTCAGTAAAGAAGGCCGGAGACAGACTCCCACTGTTCTTACAAAAAGCATTGGTACATTTTATGAATAAATGTGTCTCAATTTGTTGTTCATCATTGGTCAATTTTTTATGGTACTGAAATGTTTGTTTTTAACAATTTTGTCCAGTTTTAGGCTCTTTTTTTTGGTGGAGGGGGAAGATTCTCCAATGTTTTTTTGCTGCCACATTCAGGAAAGGCAAACTTACTGTTTTACAAGGAAAATGCTTTTCATGGAAAAGTTAAATAATACATACAGAAATAAATAATAAAAATCAATTCTTTTGTATCTCAACTACAACTACTATTAATGTCAATGTGAATGTTCTTTCATACTCTCTAAATGAATTACCATACTATTTTCTATTAAGAGGACCACATGCTACAGAATGTTTTACAACCTGCTATTTTCATTCAACAAGATAGTGGGTAAGTATTTCAGCATCAGTGTGAATAGGTTTGCATCATCCATCTTAATGCCTGCATGGGATTCTATTTTATGACATGGTTGTTCTAAAATTTATTACCCAGTCCCTTGTTGAGGAGTTTTGAAATGACTTCCTCTTTTCTTTCTCATTTTATAAACAATAATGTGGTAAATGTATGTCTTTGCACATTTGTCCAGGTGCCCTCCCAGGATAAACTTCTATAAGAAATGTTATCAGTTTTCAGGGTGTGATCATTCTGACTTTGGGGGTGCTTTATTAAATCACCCTTCAATTTACACCCCCTCCATCAATGCATGTGGATAGCTCTTTCACAATATTCATAAACTCTGGGCATTATTCATCATTCTCATGTTTCCCAGGCTAATAATTGTTATTGTTCATTTATTCCTACTTTTGTTTGTATTTATTTGATTGCTAATGATATTCAACATGTTTTTTGTTTCTACTGAATATTTGTATTTCTTTTTCTGTGTGAATTTCCCATTTTCTATTCTTTGCCTATTTTTTTCTATAGGTATTTTTCTTGTTTGTTAGGACTCTTTCTCATTTGCCATTACTTTTATCTGTTATCTCCATTATAAGCCCTTTTCTCATTTTTTCATGTCTTCAAATTTATATTTTTTCTTTTATTGGCGTTTTAAAAAAACTGCTTTACTTTTATGCACAGGCTGTGAAGTGCCGAGGTTCCAGTTCTAGCTTGTCTGCTTTTAAGCTATGTGACTATAGAAAATAAGTGACTTTGTGCTTCAGTGTCCTCGGATGTAAATTATGAGTAATGCTGGAACCTACCTCATAGAAATTATGTGAATGCAAAATGTTATATAATTGTGAAACATTTAGAATTCTGCCTGTAAGTTCTTAATGAGTCTTAGCTATTATTATTGCTGTGTAATAAAATCTTTAATTTTTTTCTGACTTTCTGGTTTTCACAGCCAGCCTTATCCTAAACTTTTGTGATCTGGATGTGTCTGAGGTGGAGGGAGGGGTGAGATAGGTATATGGAATTGAGAGACACAAACCACTATGTATAAAATAAATAAACAGTATATTGCAAAGCACAGGAAAGTATAGCCATTATTGTGTAATACCTTAAAGTGGAGTATAATCTATAAAAATATTGAAACATTATATTGCATACTTGAAACTAGCGTAGTATTAAAATCAGCTATACTTCAATAAAAAAACTCAAAAAAATGTGTTTGGGTATTATAAGATTTTAGATATATTTACTCATACTTCATTCCAGCACTTCTATAGTACTAATATTTATATACTTACATATTCAACTATTTGTATTCATTTTGGTGAGTGAGATGAGTATCAAGCGTTTACTTTTTTT